AGACAGACAGACAGACAGACAGACAGAGGCAGAGAGACAGAGAGACAGAGACAGACAGACAGAGGCAGACAGACAGAGGCAGACAGACAGAGGCAGACAGACAGACAGACAGACAGAGGCAGAGAGACAGAGAGACAGAGACAGACAGACAGAGGCAGACAGACAGAGACAGACAGAGCCAGGCAGACAGACAGACAGACAGACAGAGACAGACAGACAGAGACAGACAGATAGACAGACAGACAGACAGACAGAGACAGACAGACGTGTCTCCAACAGAGTTCAGTTTCTCTCAGATTCAGAATGTTTGTAAGTGACTTTGGGCCGAAGGAAATAACCTGGGTTTTTATTAGACATTATAATTTGCAGGTGTTCCTTAAATGCCTCACAAAATAAACTTCAGTTTCAATGTGGCCGTGGTGCAGTTTGTTTGTAGCCTACTGTTAGCTTTTACCTTTTGATGACTGAATTTAGGCGTCAATAATCATGAAGTGGTGTTTATGATCAGAAATGTTTGTTTTCTGTAATAATCCTGAATCCACTGGAACAATCCTGTTAGCTTTTTGACGGGTGAACCAGGACGCTGCTGACTTCAGGGTCGGTAGAAAACCGCTGTGTGACAGACATACAGTTTAACGGCACTGAACAAACTGAGTCAAGGAACAGCTGAAAGATCAAGAAACGGCGGTTCAGTCTTAGTGTTTATGGGAGGGGACGCTATACCAGCCCTGTGTTGGCCCTGTGTCGGCCCTGTGTCGGCCCAGTGTCGGCCCTGTGTCGGCCCAGTGTCAGCCCTGTGTTGGCCCTGTGTTGGCCCTGTGTCCGCCCTGTGTTGGCCCAGTGTCTGCCCAGTGTCGGCCCAGTGTCAGCCCTGTGTTGGCCCTGTGTCAGCCCTGTGTTGGCCCAGTGTCTGCCCAGTGTCGGCCCAGTGTCAGCCCTGTGTTGGCCCTGTGTCGGCCCCGTGTCAGCCCTGTGTTGGCCCTGTGTCAGCCCTGTGTCGGCCCTGTGTTGGCCCAGTGTCTGCCCAGTGTCGGCCCAGTGTCAGCCCTGTGTTGGCCCTGTGTCGGCCCTGTGTTGGCCCAGTGTCTGCCCAGTGTCGGCCCAGTGTCGGCCCTGTGTCGGCCCTGTGTCGGCCCAGTGTCGGCCCTGTGTCGGCCCAGTGTCGGCCCTGTGTTGGCCCTGTGTTGGCCCTGTGTCCGCCCTGTGTTGGCCCAGTGTCTGCCCAGTGTCGGCCCAGTGTCAGCCCTGTGTTGGCCCTGTGTTGGCCCTGTGTTGGCCCTGTGTTGGCCCAGTGTCGGCCCTGTGTCGGCCCAGTGTCAGCCCTGTGTCTGTGCTGTGTCCCTGTAGTTAAACTGAAGATCAGATGAGCTGATTGACATCACTCCAGAGACACTTCGTGTGTGTGTGTGTGTGTGTGTGTGTGTGTGTATTTGTGTGTTACCTCTGTGTATTCGAAGTCGGACAGTGGTGCGATGCTCTTGATGTAGTCGACTCTGAATTGGTTACCAGGGTTGCCCAGAGGAACGGGTGGAGTCAGTGTGCCCATGGCTGCCACGATGGTCTGAAACATACACACATTCTGATTGGCTGCTGTGAATCTCCTTCTGTCTCTCTGATTGGGCCTCCTTCACCTATGTGTGTGTAGAATGGTGTCACTCTGCTTTATGACACCTGCGCACCGGTTGATTTGTTCTTACCACCGTGAGTGTGTTGGTGAATCAGACCCATTCTAAACTGACAGGTGTTTGCCCGCCATCGGCAATCAGCATACGACCACGCCCCCATATCTCCATATAAGGACATACCTTAACCATATCTTTCTATGCATGTATTAAAGCCCTGACACACCAGTGTCGGACTGTCAGTGAGCACCAGTGAATGTATCAGCAGTCAGAAACAGCTGATCAACAAACATGTTCAAACATGTCAGTCTCTGATTGGCTTTCTCCTGACGGCCCCAAATCTGAACAGCTGCCTGGACACTGAATCAGAATCTCTCATATACGTGTCACTTCATCATCATAGGCCGAGTCAATGAAAACAGTGAACACATTCCAGTGTGAGCACGCTCACACATGCCACTGTGAACTGGGACGTTCTTTTACTTCAATATTTTGATTATGACGATAAGTGATGAAGCTGATTAACACCTGCACGCATTGGTAACTGAATGGGTCTATGACAGCTGGGCCTCATGTACATCTATGTATATGTATATGTGTGTATGTGTATGTGTGTGTATATGTACATGTTCCTCCAGGTGCTCTGACATGTTCTCCTTGTGTCAGCGTGGGTTTCCTCCAGGTGCTCTGACATGTTCTCCCCGTGTCAGTGTGGGTTTCCTCCAGGTGCTCCGACATGTTCTCCCTGTGTCAGCGTGGGTTTCCTCCAGGTGCTCTGACATGTTCTCCCCGTGTCAGTGTGGGTTTCCTCCAGGTGCTCTGACATGTTCTCCCTGTGTCAGCGTGGGTTTCCTCCAGGTGCTCTGACATGTTCTCCCTGTGTCAGCGTGGGTTTCCTCCAGGTGCTCTGACATGTTCTCCCTGTGTCAGCGTGGGTTTCCTCCAGGTGCTCTGACATGTTCTCCCTGTGTCAGCGTGGGTTTCCTCCAGGTGCTCTGACATGTTCTCCCTGTGTCAGCGTGGGTTTCCTCCAGGTGCTCTGACATGTTCTCCCTGTGTCAGCGTGGGTTTCCTCCAGGTGCTCTGACATGTTCTCCCTGTGTCAGCGTGGGTTTCCTCCAGGTGCTCTGACATGTTCTCCCTGTGTCAGCGTGGGTTTCCTCCAGGTGCTCTGACATGTTCTCCCTGTGTCAGCGTGGGTTTCCTCCAGGTGCTCTGACATGTTCTCCCTGTGTCAGCGTGGGTTTCCTCCAGGTGCTCTGACATGTTCTCCCTGTGTCAGCGTGGGTTTCCTCCAGGTGCTCTGACATGTTCTCCCTGTGTCAGCGTGGGTTTCCTCCAGGTGCTCTGACATGTTCTCCCTGTGTCAGCGTGGGTTTCCTCCAGGTGCTCTGACATGTTCTCCCTGTGTCAGCGTGGGTTTCCTCCAGGTGCTCTGACATGTTCTCCCTGTGTCAGCGTGGGTTTCCTCCAGGTGCTCTGACATGTTCTCCCTGTGTCAGCGTGGGTTTCCTCCAGGTGCTCTGACATGTTCTCCCTGTGTCAGCGTGGGTTTCCTCCAGGTGCTCTGACATGTTCTCCCTGTGTCAGCGTGGGTTTCCTCCAGGTGCTCTGACATGTTCTCCCTGTGTCAGCGTGGGTTTCCTCCAGGTGCTCTGACATGTTCTCCCTGTGTCAGCGTGGGTTTCCTCCAGGTGCTCTGACATGTTCTCCCTGTGTCAGCGTGGGTTTCCTCCAGGTGCTCTGACATGTTCTCCCTGTGTCAGCGTGGGTTTCCTCCAGGTGCTCTGACATGTTCTCCCTGTGTCAGCGTGGGTTTCCTCCAGGTGCTCTGACATGTTCTCCCTGTGTCAGCGTGGGTTTCCTCCAGGTGCTCTGACATGTTCTCCCTGTGTCAGCGTGGGTTTCCTCCAGGTGCTCTGACATGTTCTCCCTGTGTCAGCGTGGGTTTCCTCCAGGTGCTCTGACATGTTCTCCCTGTGTCAGCGTGGGTTTCCTCCAGGTGCTCTGACATGTTCTCCCTGTGTCAGCGTGGGTTTCCTCCAGGTGCTCTGACATGTTCTCCCTGTGTCAGCGTGGGTTTCCTCCAGGTGCTCTGACATGTTCTCCCTGTGTCAGCGTGGGTTTCCTCCAGGTGCTCTGACATGTTCTCCCTGTGTCAGCGTGGGTTTCCTCCAGGTGCTCTGACATGTTCTCCCTGTGTCAGCGTGGGTTTCCTCCAGGTGCTCTGACATGTTCTCCCTGTGTCAGCGTGGGTTTCCTCCAGGTGCTCTGACATGTTCTCCCTGTGTCAGCGTGGGTTTCCTCCAGGTGCTCTGACATGTTCTCCCTGTGTCAGCGTGGGTTTCCTCCAGGTGCTCTGACATGTTCTCCCTGTGTCAGCGTGGGTTTCCTCCAGGTGCTCTGACATGTTCTCCCTGTGTCAGCGTGGGTTTCCTCCAGGTGCTCCAGCTTCCTCCCACAGTCCAAAGACATGCAGGTTAATTGGTGACTCTAAATTGTCCGTAGGTGTGAATGTGAGTGTGAATGGTTGTCTGTCTCTATGTGTCAGTCCTGTGATAGTCTGGTGACCTGTCCAGGGTGAACCCTGCCTCTCACCCAGTGTCAGCTGGGATAGGCTCCACTTCCCATTGACCCCCAACAGTTTAAGCGGTCAGAAAAAATGAATGAATTAATTTTGTAATTTCTGTATTGCATCAGTATTTGTAGACGCCTGGAAAATTTGCTGTTGTATAAGATCAACCTGAAGCAATAATAGTTATTAAATCATGATACAGATCACAAACAGAAATGTCTAAACCAGACACTGACGCAGCTTCAAGTGCCTGCTGACATGTTGCAGTTATCCACAGGAGACACCATCACCTCACAGAAATGAGGCTGCAGGATCTGATGATTCATAAAAAAGAAAAGCAAAACAGCGCTAACTCCGCAACTGCCAGTCAATCTGTCATAGCTGGGCTGAAAGTGATGGAAGGTGCACTGTAAAATATCTGACTGTACATTCACAGTAAATTACTGGATACTAGCTGTATCACTTTCACAGGAAGTTACTGTGACACACCCCAGTGGGGCTGAACTTTAATTGTAGTGTGTCTGGACCAATCAGAGAGGCTCTGCTCAGGACTTGACGGCTGCGTTCAGCCCCGACAAAATGTCGCAAAACATTTATTTAAAGGAAACACTGATGCGTTAAACACCCTGCTGTGTTCGGCGAGCACTCTGCCGTTCAACGCGGCGAGGTTCAGGTCACATTGGCATCGTGGGAATCACAGATAAGTTTAAAATATTAACAAACATAAAGTAAAGATTTACTCAACGTTTATTTATAAACACGCTGCTGCTGATTGGGTAACGCCTCTGACACGCCCACCATTCACCATTTCACATAAACGTGTTGATCAACCTGGAAACTGGAGCAAACCGGAGCACACTGTCAGCTGGTGGGTCATGTGATGCACGTCATGTGACCTACCACGATGGCGTCCTTCACATTCTTCCTGATGTCCTGAATCTTCTGCTGCTTCTCTCTGGAAAATAAGACTTGATTTTTTCAGAACATGAGTTTGACAGGAATTATTTCCCATGAGCCTTTGAGGTCAGCACACACTCATCAGGTTGAGGAAAAATAAAACAGGAAGCTGACGACAACGTTAACCTGACGGTAAATAAACAACAATTAAACTAATTGACTGAAAAACTGAATAGCCATGAGTGAACAGCACTGATGTCACTGATCAAATCAATAATCTGCCGACCTCATCGCAATAAAAAGTTTAAATAAACAGGAAGTACTGGCAAACCGTTGCCAGGCCGGAACTTTCAAAATAAAAGTAATAAAGTCTTTAAAGTTTGACTCACTCAGCGTTAAAACCGTCCACATGAAGGATCCTCATCTGCTTCACGATCGTGCTTTTACCTGATTCTCCTGCACCTAGAGACAGACAGGTGAGAGACAGACAGGTGAGACAAACAGGTGAGACAAACAGACAGACAGGAAGACTGACAGACTCACCCAGCAGTAACAGTCTGTGTGTAGCTTTATAAGCCTGTCTCTCTTTCTGCAGCTGTCTCTCGATCTTCTTGTTGGCTTCTCGTTTCGCTTTTTCATCCAAACGTTCTTCCTCCGTCTTCCCTCCCAGACAGCCCATCTCCACTGGAACCAGTAAACAAACAACTGAAACCAGTGAACAACCACAGAAAACAATAAACAACCAGTAAACAACCTACTGAAACCAGCAAACAACCCACTGAAACCAGTAAACAACCTACTGAAACCAGCAAACAACCCACTGAAACCAGCAAACAACCTACTGAAACCAGCAAACAACCCACTGAAACCAGCAAACAACCTACTGAAACCAGCAAACAACCCACTGAAACCAGTAAACAACCTACTGAAACCAGCAAACAACCCACTGAAACCAGCAAACAACCTACTGAAACCAGCAAACAACCCACTGAAACCAGCAAACAACCTACTGAAACCAGCAAACAACCCACTGAAACCAGCAAACAACCCACTGAAACCAGCAAACAACCTACTGAAACCAGCAAACAACCCACTGAAACCAGCAAACAACCTACTGAAACCAGCAAACAACCCACTGAAACCAGCAAACAACCTACTGAAACCAGCAAACAACCTACTGAAACCAGCAAACAACCCACTGAAACCAGCAAACAACCTACTGAAACCAGCAAACAACCCACTGAAACCAGCAAACAACCTACTGAAACCAGCAAACAACCCACTGAAACCAGCAAACAACCCACTGAAACCAGCAAACAACCTACTGAAACCAGCAAACAACCCACTGAAACCAGCAAACAACCTACTGAAACCAGCAAACAACCCACTGAAACCAGCAAACAACCTACTGAAACCAGCAAACAACCTACTGAAACCAGCAAACAACCCACTGAAACCAGCAAACAACCTACTGAAACCAGCAAACAACCCACTGAAACCAGCAAACAACCTACTGAAACCAGTAAACAACCCACTGAAACCAGCAAACAACCCACTGAAACCAGCAAACAACCCACTGAAACCAGCAAACAACCTACTGAAACCAGTAAACAACCCACTGAAACCAGCAAACAACCTACTGAAACCAGCAAACAACCTACTGAAACCAGCAAACAACCCACTGAAACCAGCAAACAACCCACTGAAACCAGCAAACAACCCACTGAAACCAGCAAACAACCCACTGAAACCAGCAAACAACCCACTGAAACCAGCAAACAACCCACTGAAACCAGCAAACAACCCACTGAAACCAGCAAACAACCCACTGAAACCAGCAAACAACCCACTGAAACCAGCAAACAACCCACTGAAACCAGCAAACAACCCACTGAAACCAGCAAACAACCCACTGAAACCAGCAAACAACCCACTGAAACCAGCAAACAACCCACTGAAACCAGCAAACAACCCACTGAAACCAGCAAACAACCCACTGAAACCAGCAAACAACCCACTGAAACCAGCAAACAACCTACTGAAACCAGCAAACAGCCTCCTGAAACCAGTAAACAACCCACTGAAACCAGCAAACAACCTACTGAAACCAGCAAACAACCCACTGAAACCAGTAAACAACCTACTGAAACCAGTTAACAACCCACTGAAACCAGCTAACAACCCACTGAAACCAGCAAACAACCTACTGAAACCAGCAAACAACCCACTGAAACCAGTAAACAACCTACTGAAACCAGCTAACAACCCACTGAAACCAGTAAACAACCCACTGAAACCAGCTAACAACCCACTGAAACCAGTAAACAACCCACTGAAACCAGCAAACAACCCACTGAAACCAGCAAACACACTGAAACCAGCAAACAACCCACTGAAACCAGTTAAAAACAATATATACATTAAAGTTGATCAACATAAACAACTGATGACATCATATATTGTTTAGATTTTGTTGTTGAGTTTTTAAACCTTGTTTTGAGCCGTCATCTCAGAAAAGATCAGAAACATGTTGTAAATGAATTAAAGCCTGAGACACGTCACAGCAGCACAACAACCTGTTCAGCTTCAATATAAAGAAACAAAACATTAAGATAAAGAGACACTGAGGGACACTGAGGGGACACTGAGGGACGCTGAGGGACACTGAGGGGACACTGAGGGACACTGAGGGACACTGAGGGGACACTGAGGGACACTGAGGGGACACTGAGGGACACTGAGGGACGCAGACACACATCTCTACCTTCCTGTAGTTGTACTCAAAAGACATGTCCTCGTAAGGACGTATTTTTTTACCGTAGTGCTGCTTTGACTTCAGTAAAGGACCTGAAAACTTCTCCCACCACTCCTGAAACCAGTAAACCCAGTACCTCACCGGCTGGTCCCAGTCCAGTCCTGGTTGTACCTGTAGCTGTTGGTGATCACTGAGCCGTCGTGTCTCAGCAGGTCCAGATCAGATCGTCTTTCTGTCCGTCCATCAAAGTCACAAAAGAAAAAAGAACAATAGCAGCAGCTCCTCAACCGATCAGCATCCCCATGTGTCCTCCAGCAGGTCCAGTTCAGGTCCAGTGCAGAGGAACCAGTGCTCCTGGTGATGTTTGGTTGTCTTCTTTGTTACACAGTGAGGAGACAAACACCTGAGCGTCTGTCTGTCCCTCCCCCCTGTCTCTAATAGCGTCTCATTAGTCTTCTCTCTGCGTCTTCTCTTTGGGGGATTCTCTGTTTTTTCCTCTCGTGTCACTTTGCTGCCTGACAACCAGCAGCTGGATTCACAAACACAAACTCCTCTGACGGACCCAGTCTGGACCAGGACTGAGTCTGGACCTGGATGGACCAGGACTGAGTCTGGACCAGCAGACAGCAGGTCAGAGGTCAGGAGACACTGATGAAACTTTTCACTGAACCAGTTTTAATCACAATTTATGACCAAACGTATTCAGACTAAAATAATGTTCCACAGGTGTGTGACTGACTTCAACCTGTCTGTTGGTGTTAGGTTGTCTCCTCCGAGTGGTCGTTTGAAGTCAATGCACCCTGTCACACCACAACTGCCTGTTACCGTGGTAACCAGCTGATGCTGCAGTCAACAGTGTGAGGGTCAAACAAACAAACAAACCAACAAAACTGAATTCACTGATTCTGTTCATGTTGTTTTTTTATTTATTTCAGTCTTCAGAAAACAAAGCGATCCATTAACTCAAGAGGAAACAAAAACACAAAAGTCGCTGAATGAGGTTTGGTGAATGACGGTGATCCAAACAAACAAACAAACAAACAAACAAACAGCTGTCCACTCAGACTGGTTCTGTTCTCATCCTGAATGTGATCAGTGTTTTCTAACAGACTGGATCACACACCTGACCTGGACAGTTTCTACATCACTAACTCTCCTCTTTATTGGACGAACTCCTCTCTTCTCCTTCCTCATTGGCTGGACGGACGCTCCGCCCCCGACTCGCTGCTCTCCAGAGACTTTAACCTGAGGAGACAGACAACACATCGTCAGGGTTTTACAGCTAGTGGACGTTTTAACATTGGATCATATCTCAAGAGAAAACTGGCTCTTCCTCGTGTTGTCAGGAGTCTGATCACAGGTCATTTCAGAAAGACAAACAAGTAAACAATCAACTGAAACCAGTAAACAAGCCGACTGTGCATCGTTTGTGACTGTTGTGAGAGTAAACTATTAAAACCTGCCTCCCACTAACCGGAGCTAAAGGCTCGATGCTGAGCGTAGCCTCCCGCTAACCGGAGCTAAAGGCTCTTGGCTACAGCTTCAGGTTCATGTTCGTGTAGCTGGAGTCTTGAATCACAGTGTGTCCTCTGTCTCACTACACACTGCTACAGACCACTTTGTCACGAGGAGAGCTGGCAGCAGTGCTGGAGACAGACCCCCAGTCAGTGGCCGCAGTAAACATGATTCCACCCCTGCAGGATCAGCTAACTTTCTGGTGTCAATATGATCATCAGAAGACCATATTTACTGTCTGTCAGTGAAATGAAATGAAATCGTGCATCAAGCGTGAAAAACTGGTGAGAGTTTAATTCTGTAGCTGTTGCTTGCGGGGAGGGGCTGAGACAATCTAACACTGGGTTACTGTATGAAGCATGTTCATATGCCCGTGGTCGTCTGGTGGGAGGGGCTGCAGGAGGACGAGGGTGGTGAGTCCCTGCCTCCCCCTAGCTTTATACAGATTGTGATGAACCAGATGTGTTGAGATGAGAGCCCGTCAGTGTGAACAGGACTCAGACTGACCTCTGCAGGTGTTCATCACAGAAGGAGCCCAGTCGCTGCATCTCAGACTGGAAGAAGCTCTGAGGGCAAAGAGAGGAGACGCAGTGAGAACTGGATCAGGTGTGACATCTGAACCTGCTCCCACAGCTCTCTGTTTGACACATTCCTCCAACGCTTACACATTAAAAATTCAAACATCTTTTAGTTTCTGCTGCCTCTTTACTTTGAAACGTTGCGGTACTTGTCTCTAAATACACATACACTCAGCGGCCACTTTATTAGGTACACCTTACACGTACCAGGTGGGACCCCCTTTTTAATTCTTGGTGTCACAGATTCAACAAGGTGCTAAAACATCCCTCAGAGATGTTGGTCCATATTGACATGATGACATCACACAGTTGATCCATGGTGTTTAACCACATCCCAAAGGAGCTCTGTTGGACTGAGATCTAGAGTTTTATTCTTAAAACAATGCCTACTAAAAATGTGCATATGGACAGAAGCCGAAAATGGCGTGCGCCAAAAACCATTTGACAGTTTCTATAATCAGGCTCCAACTCACCGCCTGCATCACCAATTTCCCATCTCTCTCTGTAAGCATGGGTCAAAGTTTCTCCATCAGGTCTGTTTGTATGGATCACAACGGTTGTGTAGGAAGTGGCGTTCACCTTTCAGGCCCCGTTTTATGCGTACACAGTGTCTATAAATGAGACACCAGGTGACTGTGGAGGCCATTGGAGTACAGTGAATTCATTGTCATGTTTGAGATGATGTGAGCTTTGTGACATGGTGCGTTATCCTGCTGGAAGTAGCCATCAGAAGATGGGTACACTGTGGTCATAAAGGGATGGACACGCTCAGCAACAATACTCAGGTAGGCTGTGGTGTTTAAACCATGCTCAGTTGGTACTAAGAAAATCTCCCCCACACCATTACACCACCAGCAGCAGCCTGAAGCGTTGATACAAGGCAGGATGGATCCATGCTTCCATCTGAATGTGGTTTTTCCAATCTTCTATTGTCCAGTTTTGGTGAGAAAACCCGTGTGAATTGTAGCCTCAGTTTCCTGTTGTTAGCTGACAGGAGTGGCACCTGGTGTGGTCTTCTGCTGCTGTAGCCCATCTGCTTCAAGGTTGGACAAGGTGTTGTTGCTTCAGAGATGCTCTTCTGCACACCTTGGTTGGAACCAGTGCTTATTTGACTTCCTGTTGCCTTTCTATCATCTTGAACCAGTCTGGCCATTCTCCTCTGACCTCTGGCATCAACAAGGCATTTTGGCTCACTGGATATTTGCTCTTTTTGGGACCATCCTCTGTAAACCCTAGAGATGGTTGTGCTGAAAATCCCAGTAAATACTCAGACCAGCCCGTCTGGCACCAACAACCATGCCACGTTCAAAGTCACTTCAATCACCTTTCTTCATCATTCTGATGCTCCGTTTGAACTTCAGCAGCTCGTCTTCACCATGTCTACATGACTAAATGTTAATGAGCTGCTGACACCTGATTGGCTGATTAAATATGTGTGTTAATGAGCAGCTGAACAGGTGTACCTAATAAAGTGGCCACTGAGTGTATTACACAAAGACTTTTTCCTCCAAACATGTTCTTAATAATATCACATCTGTCCAGTTGACATATTGCAACTTTTTCTCTAAATATTAAAGTGCAGTGACAGAAGTTTTTTGTGGTTGTGTCAGGTGACCGAGGAGCACAAACTGTCAGTACCAGGATCTGTGTGTTTATGGAGTTCAGGCTGGTTGAGTTTTCATTCAGTCGCTTCAGCTGATCAGTGACGCTGTTCTCAAACCTCTGCAGCAACACTAACCTACACACACACACACACACACACACACACACAGGAATACACGTTATCATGTCAACATAAACAGTCTCACATTCCTGTAAATCTCATGGGGTCAAAAACAAAAGTGTTCATCTTAAAGCCACAGTGTGTAGGAATTTCTCTCATCTAACACTGAAATCATATATTGCATTCAAACACATAGCGCACTCTAGCGCCTCACTGTTTCAAACGCGTATTACAACTACGGTAGCTGCTGTGTACCAAAAAGCTATGACAACATTGATGAAACCATGTCATCCGATACTTCATGGAGTATTCATTCAGGCTGCTACACAGACACACATGTGACGCCAGTTGACAAACCCCCTCCTCACCATGCTGGCTGTGTTTACAACGTAGGACTGTTGGGGCGGATGTAAACTGAAACAAACCAATCACGACTTGTCTTTTGACAACTGAGAAGTGGCTCAACCTCACACACCTCATCCCTCTCCTCGCATCACTGCGCCGCTGACAGCTTTTAGCGGCTGTTAGCGGCGCCGCTACTACCCCGGCACTACTGCAGCATAACACAGTCCCACTCTTTGAGCACAATGCAGGATCATGTACATGCAGCATCACGGGAGACAGAATCCCCGTCGCCAAGAAAGCGCAAAAGGGAATCAAAAAGGCAAAGTGACCGGCGAATTCACAAAAAACGAGGGTCAACATCAGGGTAGCCTTTCCCAGGTTGAGAGAGCTGCTGATGGAGAATGGTAATGCAATCACAGGCCAGCGCCGCTGTTAGCTGTTAGACGCTGATAGCGTTACTTTGTATGTTACTTCGCACGTTACTTCATGTTACATATGTTACTTTGTATGTTGCGTATGTTACTTTGTACATTACTTTGTGCCTTATACATGTTACTTCATGTGTTATGTATGTTGCTTTATATGTTACATTATGTTACTTCATATGTGATGTATGTTACTTTGCACATTACTTTGTACATGACTGTGAATGTTCATTACTAAATACGTTATGTTACTCTGTGGCTCCATTCGCTACTTTGTACATTATGTTTGTTACTTCGTATGTTACTTTGCATGTAACTAACTTTTTATGTTACATGTCACTTTGTATGTTATATCTGTTACTTTGTACAATACTTCATGTTATGTATGTTACGTCACGTTATGTATGTTGCTTTGTACATTACTTTGTACGTTACATATTCTACTTCTTACCTTACCTTGTACATTTCATGTGTTATTTCGTACATTATGTATGTTACTTTGTTTCTTACTTTACATAATTTGTACATTACAGGACCTGTGTTGAAGGACAGGCCAGTCCTTCCGGAAAAATGCGGCGTTTTTTTGTGATTGCTATGTTTTCTTAAAAAATGCGATGGAATATGCGGGATATTTATGCAAAAACTTGCGGGAACTTGTAAAACTTGCGGGAACCTGCAAAAACTGCGGTTTGATGAAAAAGAGAAAAAAGTGATTCCCCCAACACCCTGTTGTCACTAGGCTACTACCTTAATGTAAAGAGTCATTTTTAATTACTTCCTATGATAAGCAAGCATACTACATCACAGAAAGTGCAGGGAATATTTAAGTTCTCATCTTGTTTTATTTCAGACCTTAATAAACACATGGCTCAAACTTACAAAACATTGCTGAGTCAAAAAAGTTCTGTAGCTTTACAAAAGAATATGCTACAACTTCTGTAAAAATAAATAAAATACATATAATGTCATGAAGGCTATGGAGAGAGATCCATTTTTGCGCACCTGCTGGTTAAGCGCTTTTTGAAAGGAGTCAGGCGACAGAGACCTGTCACGTGCTCTTTGGACCCGCAGTGGGATTCACCCCTGGTGTTACGCGCTCTGGGAGAACCTCCCTTCTCTCTGTCACAAATCTTGTTCAAACTACTGTCATTAAAGACAGCACTTCTCTTAGCCCTGACTTCGTAAGAGAGTGAGTGATTTATGTGCGCTCTCAGTCTCCCCGTCTTGTCTCGTTATCAGAGGTGACGGGAGCGCAGCTACTCTGAGGCCGAATCCCACATTCATGCCTAAAATCATAACCAGCTCTTTTAGGTCAAGAGTTATTTCACTGGAAGGTTTCTTCCATCCTCCCCACAGGAGGAGAAGAAACATCACACCGACTCTGCCCAGTGTGACCTCTGTCTCATTACGTGACGCGCACAGCAAGCATCAGACAGACACAGCAGCTGTTTGTACATTACAGAAAGCATTCACAAGGAAAACCCCTCCAATTAATATTTCAACTTTCTGCTAAGATATATGTGACTTCTTTGCAATGCAAATTCGGGGATTATGAAATCATGCAAGCCCCGCATATTTCGCACATTTTGTGGAGAAATATACGGCCCCGCATAAATATGCGGGCTGATTATATGTTGAATGATGCGATCGTATAATCACGTTTTTCTGGAGGCACTGACAGGTGTGTCTGAGTACCTGTGTTGATGGACAGGTATGTCTAAGTACCTGTGTTGATGGACAGGTGTGTCTTAGTACCTGTGTTGATGGACAGGTGTGTCTAAGTACCTGTGTTGATGGACAGGTGTGTCTAAGTATCTGTGTTGATGGACAGCTGTGTCTTAGTACCTGTGTTGATGGACAGGTGTGTCTGAGTGGACGGTACCTGTGTTGATGGACAGGTGTGTCTGAGTGGACGGTACCTGTGTTGATGGACAGGTGTGTCTTAGTACCTGTGCTGATGGACAGGTGTGTCTGAGTGGACGGTACCTGTGTTGTTGGACAGGTGTGTCTAAGTACCTGTGTTGATGGACAGGTGTGTCTAAGTATCTGTGTTGATGGACAGGTGTGTCTTAGTACCTGTGTTGATGGACAGGTGTGTCTTAGTACCTGTGTTGATGGACAGGTGTGTCTAAGTACCTGTGTTGATGGACAGGTGTGTCTAAGTACCTGTGTTGATGGACAGGTGTGTCTAAGTACCTGTGTTGATGGACAGGTGTGTCTAAGTACCTGTGTTGATGGACAGGTGTGTCTAAGTACCTGTGTTGATGGACAGGTGTGTCTAAGTACCTGTGTTGATGGACAGGTGTGTCTAAGTACCTGTGTTGATGGACAGGTGTGTCTAAGTACCTGTGTTGATGGACAGGTGTGTCTAAGTACCTGTGTTGATGGACAGGTGTGTCTAAGTACCTGTGTTGATGGACAGGTGTGTCTAAGTACCTGTGTTGATGGACAGGTGTGTCTAAGTACCTGTGTTGATGGACAGGTGTGTCTAAGTACCTGTGTTGATGGACAGGTGTGTCTAAGTACCTGTGTTGATGGACAGGTGTGTCTAAGTACCTGTGTTGATGGACAGGTGTGTCTAAGTACCTGTGTTGATGGACAGGTGTGTCTAAGTACCTGTGTTGATGGACAGGTGTGTCTAAGTACCTGTGTTGATGGACAGGTGTGTCTAAGTACCTGTGTTGATGGACAGGTGTGTCTAAGTACCTGTGTTGATGGACAGGTGTGTCTAAGTACCTGTGTTGATGGACAGGTGTGTCTAAGTACCTGTGTTGATGGACAGGTGTGTCTAAGTACCTGTGTTGATGGACAGGTGTGTCTAAGTACCTGTGTTGATGGACAGGTGTGTCTAAGTACCTGTGTTGATGGACAGGTGTGTCTAAGTACCTGTGTTGATGGACAGGTGTGTCTAAGTACCTGTGTTGATGGACAGGTGTGTCTAAGTACCTGTGTTGATGGACAGGTGTGTCTAAGTACCTGTGTTGATGGACAGGTGTGTCTAAGTACCTGTGTTGATGGACAGGTGTGTCTAAGTACCTGTGTTGATGGACAGGTGTGTCTAAGTACCTGTGTTGATGGACAGGTGTGTCTAAGTACCTGTGTTGATGGACAGGTGTGTCTAAGTACCTGTGTTGATGGACAGGTGTGTCTAAGTACCTGTGTTGATGGACAGGTGTGTCTAAGTACCTGTGTTGATGGACAGGTGTGTCTAAGTACCTGTGTTGATGGACAGGTGTGTCTAAGTACCTGTGTTGATGGACAGGTGTGTCTAAGTACCTGTGTTGATGGACAGGTGTGTCTAAGTACCTGTGTTGATGGACAGGTGTGTCTAAGTACCTGTGTTGATGGACAGGTGTGTCTAAGTACCTGTGTTGATGGACAGGTGTGTCTAAGTACCTGTGTTGATGGACAGGTGTGTCTAAGTACCTGTGTTGATGGACAGGTGTGTCTAAGTACCTGTGTTGATGGACAGGTGTGTCTAAGTACCTGTGTTGATGGACAGGTGTGTCTAAGTACCTGTGTTGATGGACAGGTGTGTCTAAGTACCTGTGTTGATGGACAGGTGTGTCTAAGTACCTGTGTTGATGGACAGGTGTGTCTTAGTACCTGTGTTGATGGACAGGTGTGTCTGAGTGGACGGTACCTGTGTTGATGGACAGGTGTGTCTAAGTACCTGTGTTGATGGACAGGTGTGTCTTAGTACCTGTGTTGATGGACAGGTGTGTCTTAGTACCTGTGTTGATGGACAGCTGTCAGCAGTGAGGAGACGTGTTGTTGACACTCTTTTAAAGACAAAAGAATTTCAGTTTCCACGCTCTTCCAGCAGCCCTGAAAACAGGTCGTATTAGTTTCTATTGACTGACCATTTTATTTATGTATTGATCAGTCCCATAATATCAATAATCAATAACCTTTATTTAAACCATACTGACAGTGAAATGTTGTTCAAGTTGTGTTTTAAAGGTGTTGAAGGCAGCTGTGATGCCTGACGTCAATTCTGACTCTGGCTCCACTCCTGACTCTTTCGCACCCCCCTTTCCCTCATCATCAAGCAGTCCGCCCCCTGCCTCGAATGGCTCCGTCTCCTTCGGTGATGACTCTGGTAACAGACGAACAGCAGATGTATTAAAACAATTTAAACACTGAGGCAGATTTAAGGGAATAACCAAATAAAAACTACCTGACGGTGGCGATTTAGACTCCTCCCTCTCTGGCTGAGGCTCCGCCCTCTTCTTTTGGGCCAAAAAGTCCTCAGTTTGGTCTGACAAGTAGCCTTTAAACAGCCACATCATTAATACAAAAATATTTTACGAACAAAAACAGCATGTATTTTGAGAGACTGGCAGCAGATAACCAAGGAAGCCCCACCTACTATGACATCATTACTGACATACACCAAAAACCAATAGATGAAATGTTTGGTCCGACAAAATTATTGAACACGTAGAGAGACAATAGACGAATAAACACCTGAGTCTGGAGCAGCTCTCTTCCTGTCAGAGCTGAAGACTTCCTGGAAAATCAAACAGGAAACAGATGAAAAAAAAAAAAAAAACAGGAAACAGCTGGTGTTTTCGATAAAAGAAGAGGAAATGTACTTTTCTTAAAGGAGAGACATATTTTCCAAACTCCCCCGTCTTTTCCTGAGAGACCTCTGGCTCCGCCCCCACAGGAACACCTGAGAGACAGAAAGACACAGCACAGATGGTTAACAGCAGGTGTTAGCCAGATGTTAGCAGGTGCTAGCCAGATGTTAGGGGGTTTTCGCCAGATGTAAGCGGGTGTTCGCCAGATGTTAGCGGGTGTTCACCAGATGTTGGGGGTGTTCGCCAGATGTTAGCAGGTGTTAGCCAGATGTTAGCAGGTGTTCACCAGATGTTAGCGGGTGTTCACCAGATGTTAGGGGTTTTTCGCCAGATGTTGGGGGTGTTCGCCAGATGTTAGCGGGTGTTCACCAGATGTTAGC